ATATATATAATTCTGCAATAATTTGTTCAAATATTCATGTTTATTTTGAAAAGATTTTATTCAGCATTTAAAAATTAAATGGTTTGCTATAGATTTTTCTCCGATCACAACTTTCTCTAAATTTTAAGATAAAAATCGAGGCGGAGCAGGATTGAAATTTTCACCCTTTAAAACTTTTCATTTATGGTATAGAATCCTCTTAAGAAGCCTCTCGGCCGAATTTAACTGTCGAGTGGAAGGAACGAACAAGAAAGAAACTCCAGGAAGTAGTATATATATTTTGCATAAGCAGTGTTAAACTCACCATGTCATCAAAATTGATTCTGTTTTCTATGAGAAGAACAAAACAATAACAAAACAAAGTAAAATAGAAGAAATTATCATAGAAAAATATCGACTACCACTTCAATTTAAAAAAAATAATAAATAAATAAATAAATAAATAAATAAAAAAAAGCATGTCTAGATTTTAAACCAACGCAATAAAAACGTCATCCAGATTTCTGAAAAAAAATATCGACAGTAGCGCTCAAATCGGTTTTACATGTAAAAAAACATGTAAAATTAGGCTCAACTAAGCTACGATACGAGAATCGGTTTAAAGTTTCAGAATAATTCAACTGAAAATTTTTTGTTGTTTTAAATTTCAATAAATTAATTTTTCTATTTTTGAATAAAATTAGTTAAATACTTTCTGTCGTTTCTCAATTTGGCGATAAAGAAAAGTGATTAACTTGTCATTGAAGTTAAGCGAAACATCCTCTAAACAGGTTTGAAATCATTTTCAAGAGGTTCTCAGCAGAGATTCTTAGAGGAGAGACTTACTCTCAAAAAATCGCAATCTCAAAAAACGCAATCTCAAAAAATTAAAATTTTTTCTTAGTTGTCAAATGCTGAATTTAATACAGGAAATAAGTACTGAAGTAAATATCTTTAACACGCTGAAGCTGCTAAAATTCTTAAAATAAACCAGACAGCAGCTGATTTTATCCGAAAAAATTGGCAAAATTTTTTTTTCTTTTTATTTACTCCCCGGAAAAATCCAATTTTTATAAACGAAATTTTTTAATTTAAGAAAGAAAAATGATTGATGGCATTTTTTAAAATTAAAGAAAATTTCCTACCAATAATAACTCCAATGTATCTTAATAAATCAAAGAATTATCAATTATGGTTGATAGAGAGACAGTGAGGCATTTTGTCAAGTTTAGTATTCTAGAATTGACGACGGGTATTGACATTGACAGTCATCAAAGTAATATAGTTTTTTTTTTGAATTGCGTAGTTTTGGATTTTATTGGAATAATAACTTTTCGAGTCAGAATGTTGACTTTTAGAGCAATATGTCAACTTTATATCAAGTAGCACCCACGGATTACTTGTTACCAGATTAATAACGATTCTCTCTTTTTTTGATAACCAAGATACAGATAAGCCTTTTTCACTTTTTACTTTTCGGTGACTCCTCGGTTGGTATGTCAGATTCCCTACAGAGTTCCAATTAGCCTGTAGAAAATATCCTTGCTGATGCCGAAAATAATAGCTCAACTTGGTTTTGGTTTATCATTGAAGCTAAAGAAAAATCTTGCACTATTCCCCAGACCTCTCCAGTACTGCTCAAAGTAGATTTAATAGCTTCTGTACCGACCAAAACAATAACAAGCATATACGCTTTCAAAAAATGGAGCCTTATTAACCCATTGTCAGCATAGTACATTTTAGCAATCAAGGACATATTGGATGTTCCAGTATCAGCAAAGGGCCTCCTGGAACTAATTTCATTCAAATTTATTTTATTTTATTTTTTATAGCCGTCGTTGAACAGCCGACACAATTTTATGGGTTTACGACTACTAATGTTCAACTCCGTAGTCTTGTAATTTTGAACCCAATCAAGAAAACAAGGAACACATAGATCTCGTATTGGGAGAAATTTGCCTCCGTGGAGGACTTTTTGAGGGAACTAACCCGCATTTGCGTTACATGGAGAAAAAGATCACGAGAACCTCCCGCGGTCGACCTAACAGCAAGAGGACTCTAACTCATGATCCGTGTACCACTGAGGATATTTCACGTCAGCACTGCGGTGCGGAGCAAGCCGGATGCGGAATTCGTATCGAATGGGATTCGAACCCGGTTCGCCTCATTGGAAAGCTAACGCTCTATCCCACGAGTCATCATAGCTCAGGGGATAGAGAATCAAACCAAATTTATTCTCAGAAATGTTCCTACCGAAACAGCAGTACTAGACGTTAGCAACGAATTCAACCTTGAAAATAGAGTTCATGCTATGGAAATCAGCCGGTTTTTAAATTGGGAAAAACCTACCTCTGCAATCTTATTTAACATCCTTAGAACAGTCATCCCGGTGAAAATTCTCTTTTGGAACCAATATTATGAATAAAGACTTTTCAGGACGGAATACCTGCATGCAATAATTGTTGGGGTTTTGGGAAACTCGACAAACACTGTAAACAATCATCTAGGTGCGGAAGCAGTGGAAGCCTTCTCTCTGAACATCTGGGCACATGCATTAGTGACCCATGTTGCGGAAATTGCAATGACTCCCATACCCCTAATCATCGAGATTATCCAGCACATTATGCAAAACTAATCGAAATAAAGACCACCCACCCTGTTCCTCTGCGTGAAGCTAGAAGAATTGCGTTTTTTAAAAAACCCTCACATACTGATATCATGAAATCCGAATCAGGAGAATATATCACTCGTACTGAATTAAAATCGGGCATTTACAGGTTCCATACAACATTTAGTTGAGAGCACCTGCATGAAACAAGTATTGTTGCTGGTGGTCCAAATTGAGAAATTTAACAAGGACAATAAAACATGTTCCTTTACCAGCAATTACAGGCGTCAGCACCTTTCCTCTGGTGTATACTTTTAAAATATTTCTTGGCACTCCTAATTCCATGATATATATTTCCATGAGTGTTACAAATACATCTTTCTGAAACATAGCCAGTTTGAAAACTGGTTAGTTCGTCAGCCAGTTTGAAAACTGGCTGACGAACTACTTAAAGATATTTACCTGAAATATTTTCAACATTACCAATTATTTAGTGTCCTAATTCTTTCTTTTCTTTCTTTTTAAGTATTCTTCAAAGTCAGTATATGAAGAGCTGTATTCCATGGGTTTTGAAAATTACACCCCGTTTCTCCAAGAAAAAAGCCAATTTCTTCACTTCTGTGGTTTAGGCTTAACATTTACAAATTTTCTTGATAAAGAAAGATGTTGGTACATAAATTTTTGATTTTTATATCCAAAATCCTGAAATCATTTTTTAAATATTAGACTGCAGTGGGGCCCTATTACCAACTCACCGAAATTTATTCCTCTTGGAAACGATTCTGCTTGGAAACTAACTTTCATCAGATTGCCAATTTCGTAAAAACCACTTTGCCGTAACATGAGCATACCGGAATCCGAAATCGAAATCGTCATTTCGTGTGATTCCGGTGAAATTGAAGTTTGTAGGCGGGACTAACTTTGACCAATAAGAAAATTACTATAATTCTAATTTATTAATATGGCAACGATATGTTTGTTTTCTCTTCTTCCATGTTAGCTAAGATCGCATTAACTTAGAACTGAAAGCTTAAAAATTCATACATTTTCAACAATTTTGTGTGTTCTAAGCCAAGCTTGTGTTTATTTGAAGTATAGAGAGTAGTGTGGAGTAAAATTACAAAGTATTATTTTCAAATGACTTCACATACAAAAATTAATATCCGCCAGCAAACAATGATTGTGGAATACCTAGAAAACAATCTAGATTTAAATAAAGGAACCCTTACCGGCAGTAAAAAGCTAAATAAAATAATAATAAATATCACTGCAAAATCACATGTTTCAAAATTTTATAAGCTTAGGTAATAAGTTGAATAAAAACTAGTTATAACTGATAATTAAGAAATTCTAGAGACTTATTTTCTCGTACAAAAGTTCGACACAAATGTTCTCAGTCATTCTAAATTGACATCAAAATTCGTTGTCGAGATATTGGAAGACCTTAAATCTTTTGAGCCGATAGATCTTTCTCTTAATAGTGTTTCGATCACTCTCTTCAGCAATAGCTAGCTGTATGACGGGAAACAGCGCCATTTTGAACACTAAAAAAACAAACTCTTATCGGAATTTAGATTTCGCTTGCTCTTAAACCTGCCGGAATGGGATTCGTAATTATTTCGCTCCGGAATTTAGTTCCGAGCGGAATCAAGAATTCGTAATACGGCCTAACTGACATTCACGGATTTATGACGTCACGAGAGCTTCAATCGGAATCAGATTCCGTGAAGCTGCGGCTCACTATTGCATCAAACATTAACTGCAAAGATTATCTTTTCTGGAATAAAATACACCTTAATGCCTGTACGATTATGATTAAAAACATACAAGATTAATAAAAGCCTATACTTTTTTTTAATCGAATTTGTGTTTCAAGGTCATGCAATTCCCTTACTCTTCATACTTATCCCCTCTGTTTTTCACTACAGTTTCTCGAAGTCTTGCATTTTTTCTCATAACATTACGCTTAAGTACGAAGCTAGAATGAAATTGCGCAGGGGAAAAGCATGATTTGGTGAGACAATGGCAACGGAGAGGGTAAAATTGTCAAGAGTGAGACACCCATATAAAGAGTAAAATGTTTCTTTAAAATAATTAAATACACTCAACATGTTTCGCGTGCACAAAACTCGCTTAAAAAACTCAACATGTTAACAACCGTTGAAGATAACAGACGAGGCTGTCTTGAAAACGGTTAGAAATAAAAATAATAGAAAAGAAACCATGGTTTCCCTGAGAATTTTAAATAGAATAGAGTATTTCCAGCAAACTATAGTTAACCATTTCAAGTTTACCACTAGCACAGGTGGCGGTAATGGTGAAATTTCGTAATGAGATTTCCAAATTACTGCTTCTGATTTATTTTTGTGTCTAAACTAGTTGCAGAAAAAATTTTATTATACTAGTTGTACTGCTTGAAATTCAATTTATAAATCTATTTATATTTAATTGAAAACATAAAATCTAAAGATAATACTCAAAACATTGAAATCATTGCGCTTTATTTGTGTCAGGATAGAAGCTATATTCTATGTGATTTATGGCTCTTTAAAATTTCGAATTTTTCAGAAGCTTTTTAGAATTTATAGATTACAGAAAAATCTTATGAATTTCCAACTTATGAGAAAATTTTAATTTCATCGAAACGATTGATGCATGTAGAAATTATTAATAATTAAATCCCAGAAATTAAAGCATGTGTACAATGAATTGTGCACACATCTTCCTTGAAACAGAATTTAAGCACAGGAACACAATGGAAGTTAACAAAGTGCCTTACTGGCACAGTGTTGCTAGGTGCTGATAACCGTTCACCCCCAGATAGCGTTGTGAAATCCCCTAAAAATTTTTAAAAAACCCCAAAATTTTTAACATAATGTATAAGCATTAAAAAATAGTACCGAAGTTAAATAATGTATAGAAAACGTTGCTTTAATACTTTTTAATATTTTATTATCAACAAATCAATCTTTTTTACATTTCAATCGTTACATTATCTTTAATTTCTACTGAAATATTTAAAATATTTTTTGACTTGTACATTTTTTCATAAATATTTTATTATCAACGATATAGTCTTTTTTAATATTTTAATTCTAACATTATGCTTAAAGTTTTGATAAAATATCCAACATATTTTCGTCAATACTTTCTGATTTGTATATGGGTCATTTTCACGAAAACTGTCATTTTTCAGTTCATAAAATCCCGAAAAGTAAAGTGAATGAAAAGCTCTGAAACTTTTTATATTAATAGAAATATGTAATGGCATTATAAAGAAAGTATATATGCTATAAAATATACTTAATATTTAAATTAATTAATTTTTAATTAATTAATTTACAATTAATTAATTAATAATAATTAATAACTAATTAATTAATTTAATAAATAAATCAATGAATTTAATAGATTAATTTATTTTTCAAATTAATTAATAAGTAAATTATTTTCGCTATTTAAAAAGTGAGGGAATGACACTAATAGTGAGGGAATGATATTTTATTTTAATACATGCTTTTATCTAAGTTACATCAACCTAAAGTTTGAAAATGATAACATACTAAGTATATCTAATATTTATTATAATTTAGTCTTATATATTTAATAGTTTTTACAGGTTTGGGAAATAAAATTGGCTGGCACGATTGAACAAAAAAAAATTTAATAATATACTCATCTTGAATCATTCCCTCACTTCAGCGTCATTCCCTCACTTTATACACTAGTGAGGGAATGACGAATTCAATAAAATTTAAAAATAACAGTTAGGCCTAATTAATTTCTGAAGTCAATCACATACAATTATATTCATACAAGAAAGCAACATATAATTATCCACTTTCTCGATGAAGTTGTATTTTATTTTACTCTAAAAAATGACATGAGGGAATGACAAATGTAAAAAATTTTACCTGGTTTGATTCATTCAAATTTATTCCACAGCAAAGCTTCTTTAAGTTGAAGATGGAAACATACTGCAATTTTGTTCTATGATGCCAGTTGTTAACTTCTGAAGTTTTTATTAAAATATTTTTATTCTAAGAAGATTGCAGGTGATAAGAACATTGTTGTGAGGGAATGACGCGAAACACTGGGGACAAAGTTTAAAATAGTGCTGTGTTAATATTTTTATCAGAAATTAAATTTAAAATTGATTTTCAGAATTCTATATTTCAGTATTCTGAAATAAAAAACACGAATTTGTAACAAAAAAATTTTTATTTCAGAAACAATTTTATTCTTTTTTTAAATCAGCAGTGGGGACAAGTGAGGTAATGACATATTGGTATATTTTAATTACCTAAAATAAGACCAATAGTAACCGACCTACCCCCGAAGGAGTTTGCGGATAAGAGTTTCACCCGTTTGCACGTGACTAAACACTACCAAACTACAGAAAAGTAAAAGTACTAAATTAAAAAGATTAAAACACATAGGAAAAATCCCAAAATCGAAAAGTAAAATAAAAATAAAACAGAATAAAGATTAAAAGTGCTTAAAACATCAAAGTGGATAAAATCAACCGACAATAAAAGTGTCAAAAATACAGGTAAAAACATATAAAAGTAAGGTCAAGTAAAACATCAAATGGTAAAATATGAAAAATCACATTAAAAATAAAAAGACCAAAATAAGCCCAATAGAATAAATAAAATAGTCGACTAAAAGTTCAAGTGTCTCCCTTTCAAGGCTAAGTGCCTCTAAGATTAAAATGTTCTAAGGTAAACCAAAGTTTCACTGAGGTGATAACACTCAAAGATGACACCAGGTAAGACAGAGGGTGCTGAAATTGATCAAGAGCAAGATTTCATTTTGAATGTCCTATGTATAAGGAAGATGCCAGTTTAAGGGGAGAATAAAGTCATGGAAACGGCAAGTGCCGGAGTAAAATACTAAAAGCAGAAAATTACCTAATAATTTCCTAAAATAAATAAAAAATAAAAATTGATAATTTTATTTTTATTCTTTTGTTAGCTTGCATTCTGAAGGACACTTTCCTTCCGTAAACTCCCTGAATTTTTTTTTTCGTAAGCTGTAAAACAAACATAAAATATACTGGGGACATGAAAATGACTGTTTTGTGAGAATGACTCATATGTTTTTGCTGTTAAACATTTTTAACATAGAAGAAATATATACAAAACCCTTTACCCTTAAACCTTTAAATTGCTTTTCGTGTTCCCAATCTTTCTTGTACTTTTGCACGTACTTCTTTTTTTCTTTATCCTTTGGCATTATTTTTAAACCGATATATTAAAAATTTTAAATAATTTGAATTAAAATTCTCCAAACGTGCTGGTTGATCGAGCTAAGTAATAACCAACAAAGGGGTAAAGGTCTAAAATTAAATCTTAATCTTTTTGTTTGGTTTAACATATTGATTTTCATATTACTATATCACACATTCAGTTATAGATTTTGATATCAGAAGGAAACCAAAATGAAATTAGTAAAATTCACAAATAACACTAAAACAAACCCCTAAAAACCAATTCCCCTAAAAAACCACTGAGGATAAAAAATCCCCCTAAATTTAGGGGGATAACCCCTAATCTGGCAACACTGCTTACTGGTTTTTGAATTATGTTACTCAGTTCTCATTTAACACCGAAGATTACGGATCATTAATTGAAACAGTTATCTTCTAATGGGCTAGAAAAATACCAGCAAAAATAATAAACCAGAATTGCAAATGATCTTGTCGCATTGTTAGAAACTTTGCAATAAATTTTATTTCTGAAATGACAAATGAATTTTTTTATTAGGCAATTCAGTTGCTACTCTTATTTCAGAACCTGTGAGAAATTTGCCTACATAAATCATTTTATTTTATTGCAAAATAATATATAATAGTATTGCAACATGCTTCTTTTTAAAGTTAATGAATAAGTGACAGTAAGACTTTTAAATAAAATATTAAATGTGAAAAAAAATATGTACAGTGTGGTAAAGAATAAATGGACCACCCTGAATAACTTTTGATCTAATGATCAGATCTTCACGTTCTGAGCTCACACATTAGTGCAGATAATATTTAAAGTTACAAAATCAGGCACAAACTCGTATTTTCTATGAATAAACAGTCCTTTTTTTATGGCGGGTTCGGATATTTGTTTTATAAAATATAAAGAGTAGCAGCAATCAGGGAAATATGGTTCTCCTAGTAAAGTTAGGCGATGATTCAAAGTTTGTATCTTAATGCTAATTTTACTTTTGCATATTTCCCCATATCTCGATAAATTTTTAAACTAACTGAAAAGTTATTCACACAATTATAAATTTCCCGTATACAGAGAAAATTCCATGCGCAAATGAAGTTTAGTAAATATTTATTATTTTTTATTTTATTTAATAATAGGGTAAAGCAACCAGTGAAGAAACACACCCCAATAAAGGAACATTTCATAAATATTTTTTTTTAAATTAAGAGTTTAAACGTTTTCACTTAGATTGATTGGAAATAGTTTGATTGGAAACCTAACAATAGGAAGTCATCTAACAATGCATTTGGTTGCCAGGTCATATGGTCTTTTCTGGAAAACTTTTTGAATTTTGTAGTATCTGTTCAGCACCTTGTTTCTATGACAAAATTATAAGGTCAGTGTTTGTATTTATACGTTTTAAGTACAATTAATTGCATATAATAGTTCTATTTTTCTCACTGTGAAAAAAGAATTCAAAATATGGTTATTGAAGTTACGTTTTTATTTATTTTAAGAATCATAGCATAAGCGAGTACTGAGATTAGGAGGTGTTTATTAACTGGATTACCAAACAATGAAAAGCCAATGAATAAACAAGTGTTTCATTACTGGGATTTTTCCAAGTTAATAAAAATAAAAGAAAAATAATAATTTTCTTGTACCTTTAGTAGTATAATACATCAAAATTATGCTAAAAATACAAAAAACAACTTTTCACCATTAAGGGAACAGACAAATTCCTTCACTGGGAATAAAATTTCCTAGAGAATGAACAGTAGGTGGGAATATGATTTTACATGACTCAAAGATAATTAGTAGTTCTGCGATATAGAGGACACATGAAATTCTGTTAAATGTTGTATGAATAATTCCAAAAATAATTTCATTTCCAAATGCTAATTTAATTGTTAAATTTATGGAAAGAATTATAAGCATAATTTATTTATAATTTATCTTTATAAATGTAGCAGTTAGTTCCATTATACGTTAGACAGCTTAACAAACTTTGTTTACTAATCGAAAACTAAATAAATATAATAATAAAAACTTGAATAAAACATTTCTTTGCTGACTTCTGTGCCAATAATTAACTAAATTATTATCCTAATGCGATCTTTATCGTCATGTAGGAAACGGGTAGGGAACATCCATTTAAAGGCAGCCATTCAAGTGAAAAATGGGTGAAGCTTTTTTAAATCGACATCCACTGATAACTCAGTGCAATGCGAGGATAAGTTCAAAAGGTAAAACTTCCATTTTTGAGAGTGGTATTCGAGAGTGGTTTAAAGAATTTTAGAGGAATCTTAAGGAGGGAGCCTTGGCATCTTTTTAGAATAAGATCGCATCTAGAATGCGAACGAAACAGGAGTTGAATACTGCTCTTAAAAGGGAAACATTTTTGACCCTAAAAATTATAAGGATTTATATTCTATAGTTCCTAGGAATGAAAAAGAAAGAACAACAGTTTTGATCTACATTTCAGCTAGAGGAAAAAAAGTACCTCCATCGGTAAATTTTCCTTATTGAAGAATTCTTCCAGGTATTACAGAATCAGTTCCTGCTGTCTATTTCATTGAAAAAAGTGACAGCACATTTTACGAATACATTGAAAATGCTTCTTTCCACCCATAACTAATCGAAAATTCTATCTAATTCCTTATTTTGTTACTTCTGGATAGGCATAAATCTCGTATCAATTTGAAACTGATCAAGTTTTGTTTATCAAAACAACTTCTCTGGTTTAGCTTTCTACCTAATTCTATTAGTGTGTTCCAGTCTTGTGATGTAAGCATATTTCGAACTTTGAAATCTTAATTTAAACTTCCATTAGATCTTGAAAATAAGGGAGTCGTGAAACAATATGTAGTGATAATTTTACACCCATTTTTAATAGGCTTTTGAGGAATCAATTGACGAAGTTAAAATGCTTTTATAAAATGTGGTATTTTTCCATTTTATGTTGAAAACGTTGACTTTAACAAATGCGTGCAAGACAGACACAAAAAGTCATTGAACAAGAAAGCTTATCAACATAACACATACTTTGATAAACGAGAACTTCGAGTAACAATGAGTAACGATGCACTATTTTTTCAGAATACTACTTATTATTTGAACCACCAAAAGCTTAAAATAATATTATGTAAGTTCTCTAAAAAAATTTTTTATACATAAGTTGCATTTAACAACTAATATGCTGGCATTGACATTTAGCTAAAATTACAAGGTTTTAAATTTTTGTGATTTTTTTAAAGGTAAGCTAAGCTTAAGTGTTCCTTCACTGGTTAGTTTACCTTAGTCGAAAAAATTTTGAATTGCAAGGTAAAAGAATTTTTACATCATTTTAAAGAAAGTTATTTTAAGACGTAAAATGTAAAATATGAGTAAAATTTGTCGTAAAATTTCTGAGAAATCAAATATTAAATATTCGATTTCGTGTGAGATTCATTCGATTTCTCATGAGCTATGAGGATTCAAAATTATCATTACTTTCAATTTAAAACTTTTTTGAAAATAAGTAAATTAAGTAATAAAAAAGCAATAAATAATTTAAATTCTTTTAATGAATTAATCTTTAGATAAATAACTTTTATAAATGAGTGCAAAAAGTTTTGATTCAATTCAAACGTTCTGGTGACATGACAAAATAGTCATATGACTCAGAAATACTCATATTAAAATTAACATTAAGCTGCTCATACTTTTAACCCTCTCTTACTTCAACTTTTCGGATCTAGTTTTTCATATTTTGACAGTCAAAAACCCAAATGCGTCGAGAAAAAGGTGTGTTTATTCAAAGAAAATGTTTTTGTGTCTGATTTCATAGTTTAAAATAGATAATAGGTGGCTTAAAATAGATGATAGGCCCAGTGGTGGCTTGAAGTCCAACAAAATTCAGAGCGATGGGCAGCAGCGTGTCTGGGAAAAAAGGTTTGAAGACCACATTGCCGCAATCATGCCGTTGGTCCTGAAATCATTTAATCTCAACCACCATGATCCTTGGCCCTCAACGGGCTGTTCAGAGAATACTTTTTTTTAAATAAAGTGCTAAAATATTTGTGCTTATTTATTTACGTAGGTTTTATACTTAAGTTACTTTAGTTCTAAACTAGTAAGTAATAGAAATTGAAAACTGAATAAGAAAAATTAAATTTTACAAGCATTAATTATATTGCTTTTTAGGGACTGTTTTACACGTTCAATGTTTAGCCCAAAAACCGAGTCTCCAATTGTCAGTTCCTGTTTTACTTTCAATTCCCTGATTGGAAAGCCTGACAACATCTCAGAAACTGTAGATAATGGAGCTAGTAAGTAATTCAAGAGTTAAGTGTAAAAACATATTAGATGACATCAGTATTCTGGAACTCAGAACACGGTTTCTTATGAATACAACTTTTGAGTAAATAGTTTTTAAAAAGAAAGATATATTTTCTAATCAGCTTCTCTGTTCTAATAATTTCAACTGAATTTCTCAGACACAACAATCAGTCACTCAGCATGTTTTTCAACGACAGATTTTATTTTTTCTTTCAACATTTTAAGTCATGAATAAAGCAGGGAATTGCGCATGACTTTAAGACTTGCGTTGAATACCAATACACACAGAAGAATTGATTCAATGAGATCTTTAAAAAGAAAATGATAAAGCAAAATAAAATTATTGAATTCTATAGATAACGATCTTTGATGGACTCAAAAGTTAGCTTAGTACATTTTGTTCCAATTTCCGGAGGGGAGATGTTTTCAGCAAATATAATATCAGTATTGATGAGGAATGCCATATAACTTACAATTGTCTGCGTTATCACCGAACTGTAGCATCATTTTCATTCGATTAAGAAAAATGTCTTCAGTCATTAGATAAACTTGTCTACAGGGATTTTTTTCTTCAAATCCTTTTTCATGCTTAACAACCCATTTAGCAACTTATCACTGATTATCTCCCTTCACGTTTCCAAATTTTGTCAAACAACAAATTGGAACAATTTTTGCTAGCTGTGCATAATAAAAATCCATGAATGGAACATTATTTTTTCTTATCTATAAAACGCTATCGAGTATGCTGCATATCAAAACTTTGGATATAAATAGATTGTCCTAGAGTGATCCCAACAGATAAAAAAGGCAGGACGAAAACAAATTTCGAAGCAATAAACTTAGATCTTTACAAGACGAAGAAATATTGTTTCCGGACGCATTGAGTTAATTAACTATGGAGTGAATTTAAATTTTTTTTCACTATTTATTATTTTCTAGGTCAGCTGCAATCTGTCTTCATAACTTATATTTAAAATTTCATCACTTCATATTATAATGTATACTTTATATACTTCATTCTTTACATTATAATGCATTACGTATCGTATTATTCTCTTAAAACAAGGAAAGCACTTTTTAATCCTTCCGCTGATCTTGAAGCAGTTGAAATATATTTAGAACAGCATCAGCGTTGTGAATAGCGGTAAGTGGCAATTAGTCCAAATAAACAAACAGCAAAAGTGTAGTCAACACCAGTCAGTGACACTTATTTAAAAAAAAAATTTGGTCAGTGGAAATTAAGCAGGACGCAAAATATTCACTCGCCAGCTCATCATTGGCGACCAAAATTTTAGGGCTGGTGAGTAAACTTATATAGTGTTATTTTTCAAAAGAATTTTTTTTTTCAATTTTTATTTTTTTTCTACTCCAACTGCTATCTTTATAACTTTAAAAATATTTCCTCATGGTTTCAAGGTCTTTAGTCATAATGTATGTCCCGCTTTAGACCAGGGATGGGCAAACTTTTTCGGTCGTGGGCCAAAACTCTAGAAAAAAAAATTGGTGGGCCTAGTAAAAACTTCTTAAGTAAAAATTCTGACTTCCGAAATAAAATAAAGTCAATTAATCATTGAACGCATGGCATTCTACATCAACTTTGCGTTTTTCAGTTGACATTTTGGGGTTGAAAAATTTTACAAATAACTCAAAAAAGCAGTAGTCATTTTATACATTTAATAATTTCACCATTATTTACAATGGCGTTGCATGTGTGCAATATTTCCATACGCAGTAAATAATGTTAGAACTCGCCCCGGCAGAAAAATCCGCTCGTTGGAACTTAAAAATGTGTAGTCTGCCTCATGTGAAGTACAATTCACCTATATTAGATTCCATATGTCAGCTCCTCGAGAAAGACAAACACTAGTTGGAGCTAATCTACGGCTATTCTATAAGGAACATCTGCTTTCAACATTTTACCAATTGAAGCTGTCTGTGCTAACTATTTCCATCAATTTATGTCTTGTCGAACAAAAATAGAGAAAGTAAAAACGTCATCAGTACTTTGTTAAAAAAGAAAGAACAAAAATAGCTTTAAACAAAGTAGACAAGAAAATGGACGTATAATGTATATTGTTTATATTCGCTACGGATCGGCAAGTTAAAATTCTGTCCGCGGACCGGATAAAACCTTCCGGCGGGCCACAGTTGGCCCGCGGGCCGTAGTTTCCCCATCCCTGCTTTAGACGATAGGTATTGAGATAATCATAACGAAAACGTAAGCGTGAATTGTTTCAGTCCAAAATATGTTGCAAGTTGGTGATTAATACGCAAATTTTACTTCTATTTTTTGGTTATTATAAATAATTGATGTCTTAATATTATAAAGATTCGCGATTAAGCCCTTCCGGACCCTGACCAGACGTGCCTTTCTGACTGTAACTTCTGGCCTAAGATCACAAGAACGTTATCTCAAAACTATATTTTTGCATTATATCTCGTATTATTCTCATATAAACAAGGAAACCGCTTCTTTTTGTCCTTCAGCTGGCTTTGAAGCAGTTAAAGTATATTTAGAAAAAGCATCAGCGTTGTGAATACCGGTCAGTGGCAATTAACCTTTAAAAAAAGTAAAAGTGTAGTCAATACCAGTCAGTGACAGTTACTTTTTTAAAATAAAAAAGAGCATCAATGCAGAGAAAATTGGTCAGTGGTATTTAAGCAGAACGTGAAATATCCACTCGCCAGTTCGTCATTGGCGATCGAACTCTTAGGGCTGGCGAGTAAGTCTTATTTTATTTAATGTTATTCTTCAAATGAAACTATCAAACTTTTTCTAGAGTCGCGAGTTGCCAATAGGCAAATATTAAAAATGAGGAGCAATAGTTCCAGACTTTAACAGGGAGATAAAAATTTTTTATTAATATTTATGGAAACATGAGTATCGCAGGAAAATTGCTATCTGTGTCACCAGGCGTGTTAGCATCTCTGTACGTTTTGACGCCTTGAATTGGCCTTAAAAATAAGAGATTCTTGAATTTGGGATAGGAAAGATGAATGAACTCTTCAAATATTTAAATCTAAATTTCTTTAGTGAAAAGGTAAATGCGTTGCATTGGCAGAAAGAGCAAATTTCATGTTCACCTTTCCAACATTGATTCAGATGCTGAATAAGTTTGACAATGCAGAATGTTCAGTGAGAATTCTAAATATGCTTCAGATTATAATATTTTTGAGCTATTCTGCAAGTTATCATATCTTCCTGTGAGTGATGCCATCACAATAGACTAAAAACAGCTAACTCTTTGAAGATTGCGTCACTTGATAATTTGCTCCAGAATTTTTTTAAATTGATCCCCTCCCCAACCGAGTTTATTGCTTGACTTCTAAATCACATATGGTATTTTAGTATCTGTCCTGTTGCTGTCGTAGCTTATGGGGAAATATCTTCCCAAAGGAAGACGAGGTACTGTATAATTATTAACTCCGAGAGGTATCCTTGGTCAATAGTTTCTTCCACACCTAAATAGACTCTGCCTCTTTGAAAAAGAATTCAAACAGCTCAAGGCTAGAATCAGATGCAACTTTTAATTTTATTTTCTTCTTTATTTCTATGCTCTTTTCAGGATGGACAGCAATATTCAGAAAAATATTGTGGCAGAAGAGTCTTCAGAAGACGACGCGTGTTACATTTTCCACACACTATAGAAATAAAACTAGATCTAAATGTGTATTTAAATAATTACTTTATCCGAATTAGCTGGACTGCGTAAATACAAGACTAAGTGAAACTAGAATAATAAAATATAAGAAAAGAAATTAAGCTTTCTAAGCATGCGGAGAAGAAAAGGAAACTTTAAAGACGGCTTACATAACTCAAGTAGTAATAAAATTTTGATGCGCGTCGATCCAGGTATTCAGGCTCATCAAGGTTAACGGCTGCAGTTAAAAAGTTCTAAGCGTAAAGCACCAACAGAAAAGTAATTTTAGAAATTTAGGTGTTGTCCCACAAGTGCTATTTTTATTTGCTATTTCGTGCTATTTTTATTTGCTATTACGTGCTATTTTTATTTGCTGTTGTTAAAATAAACGTTTTGTTAATTTTCAGCTTTTAGCCTTTCATTGGATCTGGATCCAACTGGATATCCTCCATTTATCTATCAATCTAAAGCACAGATATCATTCCACAATTCTCGACAAATAGTAGATCCCTATGAACAAGGATTTTCAATGGAGATGGGAAAACGTTATTCTTTTCGCTTGAAGAAAGTAATCAAAAATATTTCATTATCTTAAATACATAAAAATGAGTTTGATATAATTACCTTTCAATATTTTTTAAACAAGGCATTAATAATAAGTCACTCTTTACACCGCAGACAAACAGGATGAACTTTATAGTCAAATTGATGACTAAAATGATTGTGTGAGAGGTGTCGCAAAAAATTATTACTGTAAAGGTTCGAAATGTTCATTCAAACAGCTCTAAAAAAATTATATTTTTTATTTATTTACTTTTGTTCTGATGCAGGACTTGTTAAATTATGTTTTTCAACAGCAACTTCCAAACGTAATATAGAACTACAAATACGTTTATATTGAATCAAGGAAGTGAGTTTGTTCGTGTGTGTATATTTTTCTTATAAATCCATCTAAAATCTTCTGAACTGCGGTCCTGAAATTTGGAGAGTGGGTGCAAGGAAGAATTTTAGCATGGGTCATGAAAATCATTCGAAAATTACATTTAATCATTTCTGAAGAGACGTCCGAAAAAGGAATTTTTTTTTGTTCGTTTAGCTTTAGATATTGGTATGAAATGAAATGTAAGCGATTCTGATTTTTTTTTAACATTTAAAAAATAACATTAATAGTGTTTATTAGCTTGTAGCTTGATCAAAAGAAAAAAGTTTCTTTGTTAATTTATTACTCGTTTATCAATAGTTTATTATTATTATTTTATTTTTCATTCCATATTTCAGACAGCAATATGAACGCGTATTAAGACCAAGGAATACGCTGTTTGAATTCTAAAACTATGTGCATGTTTTGCTAATCACCAACTCAAGCTCTAAGAAAGTTCTAGCAATAAAGTTTAGTTCAGGAAAATGGTTAACACTATCCCGAAATTCGAGATTGACTAATCTTTTGGTTCTGATTTGTTTAAATCAGTTCTTGTTTTCATTCGCAACTTATATAATAGGTGTGGTGTAGATAATTTAGTTTCTCATTGTGTATGTATATATATATGGGTCATTCTCACGAAAACTGTCATTTTTCAGTTCATAAAATCCCAAAAAAGTAAAGTGAATAAAAAGCTCTGAAACTTTCTATATTAATAGAAATATGTAATGGCATTATAAAGAAAGTATATATCCTATAAATTATACTTAATATTTAAATTAATTAATTTTTTAAATAATTAATTTATAATTATTAATTTATAATAATTAATAATTAATTAATTAATTTAATAAATAAATTAATTAGTTTAATAAATCAATTTATTAATTTATTTTTCAAATTAATTAATAAGTAAATTAATTATTTTCACTATTTAAAAAGTGAGGGACTGACAC